CAGTTTTGTTTTAGAGGTGTTAAAATTTACAAGCCATTCCTTGCCTGAGTTAACCACTGATTGGAGATCATTTTCTAGAGCAGCTGCCAGTTGTCAGACCTAACGGACTTGCTAAGACAGTAAATAGTTTTGTCATCAGCATAAATACCTAGTTGGGAATGAATGACATCAGGGAAGATTGTTGATAAAGATAAAATACAGCATAGGTGCAAGGATAGAGCTCTTTGGGACCCCTGTATTAATGTGGAATGATCTAGAAGCATAGCCATTCAATGCTACTTTCATCATACAATTTGTTAAGAATGATTGGATTAAGTGAAATATTCATCCAGAGACATGATGATCCTTGAACTTTGGAAGAAGGCCAGCATACCCTGTCGAACACTTTCAAGATTGTAGCTTAAAAAAAAAAAAAAAATTACCTTATGGACGTCCATACGTAAAAAGAATCTCATTGGGAAGACATTGTTTTTATGCTGACAAACTGATGCAAAATCATGGCGACCATGAGATTTGAGAAAATATAAATATGCAGTGTACAAAAGATGGGGACACAGGAAGTTAGTCTACGAACGACCAGACAATACAACATCTACAAGCTATTTCAGCGTATATATCTGTTATAAGCACCGTGACGATATGGAGGGGAATCGCAAAGTAATTGTTGATATGGTGAAAATGTTCAGTGGCGAAGGCAATTTGATGGCCTGGTTGGTGAAAGTGAAATTTGTAGCGAGACTGCAAAAATATCCACGACCTCGAAAGCTTTATGTTCCTGTTTTTAGAAGGAGATGCCTGGCCTTATATCTCCAGTTGACCGAAGAGGATCAATGGGATGCAAAGAAAATAGAGGCTAAGTTAAAAACAGCCTTTACAGACAGTTTCTTCTGCATATGCGAAGCTAGTGAAGATGCAGGGACCAGTGAAGCCGTTGATGTGTATGCAACGAAAATACAAAGACTGGCGGAAGTAGCAGGGTTTGAATGGAAATGGATTTCAGAACCCCCGATATTAAAAAAACGTTAATCGCTATCATGCTAACCTGAGTAAGGAGAAGAAGGTTGAGTTTGTCAGTAAAGTTAAATGGTGGATTGAGGAAGGAATCTTAACCCCGTGGGACCAGGATGTTCAGATGGGAGTCCTACCCTTAATGGTGGTGGAACAACCCACAAAAAACGAGATCAGGTCAGTTCTCGATTACCGAGAACTAAATAAATACATTGTGTGTCATTCTGGTGGGGGATGCAATTGACGTTTGTGGAGAAACAATGAGGAAGTGGAGGCAAATGACAACGGCATCAAAGATTGTTGATCTAAGATCAGTATATTTGCAAATACATATTGCAAGGCATCTGTGGAAGTACCAGCTAGTTTGGTACGAGGGACAGACCTATTTAACTAGGTTGGGGTTCGGACTAAATGTATCCCCCGAAGATTGTCAAAAATCCTAAAAACTGTGCTAAAAAAGAGGAACGCACCAGAAAAAACACGGATTTGTATATTGACAATATACTGGTGAATGAAACAGCAGTACCATCGGCAGACCTTGTAAATCATCTTAACAACTTTGGCTTAACAGCAAAGCTACCAGAATCATTAGAAGGAGGAGCAGCAGCATTGGATCTTCGGCTTCATACGGATAAGGCAGGAAATCTGGTATTTGTGAGAGGGAATGACTTGCCTGAAGTGCATGAGGAAATGAGTAGGCGTGAACTGTTCTCTGTCTGTGGAAAAATGGTGGGCCACTACTCAATGGCAGAATGGCTTAGAACCACCTGCAGTTATTTGAAGAGAAGAGCAGAAGAAATCGATTGGAAAGACACTGTGCTGCACAGAGCAATTTACACATACCAATGGAGACATCCTAGATCCTGTTTAACACACTCTGACGGGCCTAAATCTATACGGATTGGAGAGGAGGTTTGGGTCAAGCCAACTGGAGCCCGCTGCATGACAAAATGGACAAGAGGAATGGTTACCAGGGCACAGTTGTGCAACAATGTTGATGTGGATGGTATACCAAGACATTTTCTTGACCTTAGAGTAATTCAGGAGGATTCAGAGAATGATGGGGACAATGGGAGAAGTTCTCATGAGGCTCAGCCCCAAACACTGTGGAGATCACAAAGAGAGCAACCCCTGCCCAGATGGATGGATGACTATGTAACATGAGATGTGATCAAGGAGGCGTGTAGTTTGAAAAATAAGTAAATATAAAAAATAAATAAATAAATAAAAAAACTTACCTCATGGACGTCCGTATGTAAAAAGAATCTCGTGGGGAAGCCATATTGTTTTTATGCTGACAAACTGACGCAAAATCACGGCAACCACAATATTTGAAAAAATATAAATATGCCATGTATGAAAGACGGTGGGAGGGTGGGAGAAAAGGAAGTTAGTCTACAAAAGACCACACAATACGACAAATACAACATCTACAAAGATATCTAAAGCCACAACTCAAGCCTTGCTGTTTTCATCTAAATCCTGATAGAAAAATCCATTAATAACCATTAACACAGTAGACCTAGAGAAACAAAAGCCATACTGTTTATCTGAAAGAAGGCAGTGTGAAGTGAGATGCTTAACCAATTTTGCATTGATTAGAGCTTCTGGTGCTTTGCCAAAAAATAAGTAAAAGACTAATAGGGCGATAATTTGAGGGGTCAGAATGTTCAACAAATTCTAAAAGACAGGAATTACAGAGGTGGATGTCCAACAAGATGGAAAGCAAGAAGTAACAAGGCATTTATTGAAGAGTTTGGAGAGAACATGAACCAGTTCAGGAGCACATTTCCTTTGGACAATTGCAGTGATGCCTTCAAATCTGCAAGCCTTGTGGAGAATTAGTTTGAAGATGATAGCAGAAATATATATAAGTGGACACTGAGGTCAACACCAAGTGGTGACAATCTGTTTTATGCTTAACTGCAATCTTCATTGCTCAGTCATCATCCATTCAAACTAGATATTGAAATATCTTTAAATAGGCAGGGGGATTTGGGGCTTTGATATTTGACATTCTGTTGCCAAGTATTTTGTAGTTTAATATCCAAATATAAGAATTGGCAACTGATTCATTTTAGATAGAGAAAACTACACTTGTCTCTTAATATTCATGAAGGAACAGTTCCAGGGTCCCTCTATGGATACCAAAATCTACAAGTCTATTATATACAAATACTACATGATTTTATATAACCTCTACATGGCTTCCTATATACTCTAGTTTATTTATAATATCTAATGCAATGTAAATAGTTGTTATAAATGAAAATAAATTTGTGTATAATCAATACCTGAGGGGATAAATTCCAAACTTGTTTAAAAGTAAATTTTATCATTAAACCTTTTTGTGCTATTTGGGTGGGGGGAGATTAGAGAAAATTCTGATATTAAAAATTATGTACAATTTATAGAAATATTTGTAAAATGATAGTGTGAGAAATTTGCCTGCAATAAAAAAAAATAAAATAAATAAAATAATTTAAGTTAAAGATATTTTTGCCTAAAAAATTTTATTTTTAAAATCTAGCAAGAACAAAAATTATGAGATCTTAATAATTTCTTTTTTGGTAGCTTATGATTTTTCATAACTTTTACATTCCAAAATTTGAAGAAAAAAAAATATACAAGTAACAAATGCAAGGAGTGAGAAACTTAGGATCTATGAAATGGCAAAAGGTTATACGTCACTTCATTTTCATAGATTCTCTGTTTTACTCTGCATGCAGAAAATTCAAGTCTTACTTTTTTGGAATTTTTCAGAGTATTTTTATTTAGTGGTTGGTTGAATCAATGGATGCAAAAAAACATGAATACAAGAGACTGACTGTACAACCAAGTTTTAAGTTAGCATAATTTTTAAAATTAATAATTTTGACTCCTTTATCCTTTTTATCCATCATTGCAAAGAGTACAGATATCTTAAAAACTTACATACAGTCAACTGCACTAGTGGATTGTAGACAGTTTGGGTTAGAAAGCTTTAAATTTATCTTACATGGACAAAAATGCAATAGTTGATTTTATTTTAATTTTATTTAAGACAATATCTGTTGCTTTTGTGAGAAACATAAAAACAGTGGACAACATCAGGCTAATTATATTCACACACATGGTCAAGTTGTTTGATGATATTAATCTTAGCATTCACACTCCAAGAACAAAATAGCTTCTTTCTATCATTTTTTTTTCTTACCTTTTAGGCAATCATTTTTTATATGAATGGTTAGCTATTTAAAAATTCCAATACAGAATACTGATGACAAATAGGACTTTATATAAGCAGTAAAAATATAACCTTTTAATTCAATATTGTTCAACTTGATTGTTACCTATGAAGACAGGGAAATAGCACATTGAACCCCCACCCCAGTCAATAGAACCTAAAGAGGAAGTCTATGATGTTAACATATCAAGATACTGCTTTTTCATGAAGCATTTGTGTGTGTGGATGGATAAAGAGTTGTTTTATATTTCTTAGAAATATTGTTTTAGCTTTAATTATCATTTCTAAGTTATTGTCATAAGCGCAGTAATACATAATAATATCCAAAGGTTGAAGTGAATTAGTCCTCAAGTGCATGAAACCCTGCACTTTCACGTGTTTATCATTAGCATCACCCATCACCTGATGAATGTTGCTTCATATTGTTCTAAACCTGTCAAAAATGATGGGATGATTATATATGGATTAGCATCTCTCTGGGATCAGCATAGTATCTGTGTACAGTGTTAAAAACACACTTATAATCTGTTAAAAGTATGTATTATTTTATACATGGGGAGTAATTTTTTTCTTTACTTTGCCAGGATATGAAAAGAATCTTGTCTATATTATCATTGTTCACTTGCATTCATTTTATTATTTTTTATTTTAAAAAAATTCATACCCACTTCAGTTGATTGTCAAAAAATATTCAGAGCTTTTATTTTTTTTTTTTTTTCATTCTTTGCTTCATGCTTGACTTTATTTTTTTTCTTCAATTTTTTAGTTTGCTGCTGACTTTGCTGAAAAAGCTTTGTTTAAGAGCTTGATGGTGCGCCTTTTAAAACTGTCTGAGGATGACGGAACACACTCTATGGCAGATTTACTCACAGAAGAGTTCCTCAATGTGGACAGCCAACTGCTGGAGATTGTTAAATCCACAATGGATATGTCTGGTGAGTGCTATTTCCAGAAGATCCCACATGATGCATATAATTTCCATTTCAATTATGTGCACACTTTTATTCTTATCAAATGATTTCTGGTTTTCATCATATGGCAGGAATGAAACAAGGCTCAGTTTTAATACAAATGAAATTATAGTATTTATAAATTTGTTAATTAATACCTGCCATCTGTGATAGAATTTACTCGTTACTGCAGTGCTCAGTTATAAAGTACTCTCAAATTATTGAATATCTTGTGATAGTCAGCCAAATATTACATCTTGTCTGATTTTATAATTTTCTTATTCTGGTAAATATGGCAAAATTTTCCATTGGATTCATAAATATTCTAAAAACACATAAACAAGGTGAAGCTGTAATTTGATTAACTTGAGTTTGCTTTCCCCTTCCCACCTTTTACTCTAATGAATGAAGAAGATAAAGAACCTCAAGCAATCAAATTGTTTTTTATCTTCCTTGATTTGGTCAACATTTGCTTAGTGGTGTTAAAAGCTGAAGGTATAATATTAAAACTAACACTTAACTTCCACTTAGCTTTTCATTTATGGTGACTTGATAGTTTCTTTCTACACGCCCCTTCCCCTTATTGTTTCTCTCTATCCACACATCTTGTTTTTCAAGTATTTTTAATCATTTTTGTTTCATTGTAACAAAGTATGCATAAAGTGGACATTGAAGTCAACACTCAGTCGCAACAATCTGTTTCATGCTTAAGTGCAATCATCAGGCTATATATATATAGCCTTCTATGTCCAGGAATTTTCTATGAAACTTTAATATATGCATTTTATGCTTATTGAGTTAAATTTTAATATATTACCTTGAATTCTTCATTGCACCATCAGTGACTTTTGCTGTTGAAGAGCATTTGATTCAGAACCTACCACCATAAATACTGGTGTTGGAGTTTTAAATCAAGAAATTCAAAGTTGACGTAACAGTATTTCTGTACTTTTATTGGATGGATTTGATGGAACTATATTCACAAATCTTGATCAAAAATTGTAAAAGTTGTAAGATCCTCCTTTAACATTCTCAGAGTTGCATCTCTGTAGACTCCTCAGTTTTTTTCAGTTCTTGATAAGACCCACAGTAGATGGAGAGTTGAGCTTGTATAAATAAAGCATGCTACTTGATATTGAGTTGAAACTGATGAAACAAAATAGCAGTTTCATTTTGCATTTTTCTTACAAATGGTTCAAGCAATGTACAGTGTAACGAAAATATGCAGATATTTTTTTTATTGGGAATAATATTGTACCATCTGCTCTTATCAGCAACTCAATCATGGTCCTCTTTAAGTAATTTCTCTCCTAACCTCCAAAAAAAAGCATAACATGACTATTCTTTCTAATTCTTCTACATTGTAAATTCTCTTTTGCATCATACTTCAATGAAACACTTTGATTTAATGATCAGACACATTGCATAAACATAGAAGCCTGTTCAGTTCAGAACAATATCTATAATTTCATCTACAAGAAATGAATATATTGATTTTATTTAATATCTATTTCTTACAGGAAAGCTAATTGTCATTCTGAATCCAATTTGATAACATTGACACACATGCTTTCTTTTTAGATGTCCACCATACTAGACTCTAAATAGTTCTTGATGATATTGTTATAATTAACAAACTGTGCATACTTCCAAAATGCATGCTTCTTTTTATTCATTCTTTGATGTAATTTATTTCAACTGCTCTCCTTGTTGTTTTAGTATTATATTTGCTTTCAACTCAACCCCAAATGGTTGACACCTAAAGTAATATGTGATATCAGTTTCTTCAGAGTATCCAAGACAAGTTCTCCTACCCATGATTCTGAAAACAGTCCCTTTTCTTTTTCAGGATAGCTTACTATTTCTTCATTTGCTTCTTCTGAAAAGTATAATTCATGGAATTCATCATTATTTTGTTCAATAATTTTTTTTTGCTAGCTAGATCAGTGGGATATCCTAGCTTAAAAAAAATTTGGAAAAATTCAGATATCTCTCTTGTGCTGAAATATTTCTCTCTCTGGCTTATCCTTTTGTGTTTCCATTCCTTTTTATTACATCTCCTCTGTGTTAACCAAACTTTGATACTTTCTTTTCTTCCATAATCTTTGTTTCCATTCTTCCTGTTTACTGCCCATCCATTTGATTATTTTTATAATTCAATGCAATATATAAGTGTTTTCATTTTTCTTCTTTGTGTCCCTGTCTCTGCTTCAGTTTTTGATATGCTAATTTCTTTCTACCACCTTTTGTTGCAAATCCAGATAAAATACTCCTTTTGTCTTTCTTTTCTCTACTATTATTTTCTCAAATTGTCATTTGCTGGCCTGCACCTCCAGATGTTACTTGTCCAGGTTCTCTTTAATCTTCCATACAAATAGAATCATTCTAATTTTATCGACTATTTCTAAGGAGCCGTTTTGGCAAGATTGTATTGTCACATGCTAAAACTTGGAGTGTCTTATCTTTCAGTTTAAATCTTTCCTATGAAAATAAGTTTTGTGTGTGAGTAAGTGGAAACTGAGTGGCAACAATCTGTTTCATGCTTGAACACAATCTTCCTTCCTGAAGATTACATTCAGCATGAAACACACTGTTGCCACTTGATGCTGATTTCAGTGTCCAGTTTTATATTTACATACACTTTATCCCTAATAGTGAGCACTGCCAATAGGGAGCAAAGCTCCAAATCTAAAAGTGATCCATTTTTTTTTTATTTTAGTTGAATAAATTGAACTGAAAAATGAAGAAAAGCTTTTAGTTAAGGCTTTACTCAATCCAAATCATTTGTTGGCTTCTATTTACCAAATATAAAACCACTTTTAGCAGTGTGAAATATACCCTTCTACTCCAATGGTAGGCGTGAATATGTATGTCACCATGCATGCCTTTTGAACCTTTTCTCTTAGCTGTAACTTTTCTTTCTAAATTAATATCCTATAGTTTAAGTCGGTCAATTATAAATTCAGGTTTCTCAAGTATTATTTGCAGTTATAGCTTAGTTTTAAAATTATTGAATGGGAGGCTTATTATTAATCTGAATGGGTGAGATGCTTTGGCTCTTTGAATAACCTCATTTTATCATCTCATCACAAAATTAAAGAACACATAACAAAATTTACATCAGACTATTATTTCATCTCTTGCATAAAGCAATACTTGAAGCATAAAGAAAAATTGTAAAGTTGTGTTGATGATGGATGGAGATTACTTAAAATGTAAGTACACTCTTAGGGCATTTTCTAAACAATCTAGAACTAGCTGAACATCAGTAACTCAAAATAGGTTAAGCTATGTTTACATTTTAAAATATAAAAGACATTGTTTTGCTTCCATTTTTTTAAATTGGTAAAACTGCTTATTTTTGTAATGGGTATCTTACAAACCTTGATATATAGTTGCATTACATATGCTGGAAATAGAATTTTCATTCTCATCTAATGAATGTAAACTTGGTTTGAGTGCTTATAGTGTAACAGTATCCTGGTATGCCACATTTTTCAATATTCTTCTTAGATTAATATTACTCATTTGCTAAAACTCTTTTCAATCTTATTCCACACACAATTTTCCTTTTTCAAAATAAAAAAAAAATTGTTTCAGGTTCCACTGCATTGGTTGCTCTACTCAGAAATGACATTCTGACTGTAGCAAATGTGGGAGATTCACGAGGGGTAATGTGCGATAAAGATGGAAATGCAATTCCCATGACAGTAGACCATAAACCCCAACAGGTAAGTTACCAGATTCAATTATTTTTTTTTTTAATTAATGTTGGTGTAATATAAAAATACAAATCCTGTAGCACAACTTTCCAGTAAGAAATCAATAAACACCACTCCTTGTTGTTAAAAATATTAATTTAATTACTTTTACTTTTTAAATACTTTTAAATACTATCAAACTATTTCTGTATTAAATAGGATCATAGCCTAAAATAAGTAAAAAGAAGGACAAAAAGAAAGTAAACCTGTTTCATGATGTTAGTACTTAGAAAAATCTAAAATATTCATAAGGCAAATTGTACAAAATAAACAATGCAATTTAGACATTGATGAACTGCAGATAGGAAAGTAAATTGTAAAGTAGGTAAATTGCAAAAGTTCCCAGATTTTTTTTTTTTTTTCAAAATTAGACACTTTTTGTGTGTTAACTTTTTTGCACACTGAATTAAAAAATATTTAGATTGCAGACATAATTTCTTCTCTGGACTTGAACTATAAATTTACTTTTTTTCATCAAATTTCTTTGTAGTTTTTCTGTATTCTCCTTTGAACTTTATATTAGCATTTGCTTGCAGAACCACATTTTTGTCATTGTAAGGTTCCTCTTCATCTGTGAGGAAATTGCTCAGCATTCACTGTCATATAGGAGATTAAACATATATAGTCCAATATTCTTTGTTTCTAAGAACAGTTTCTGATCCCTTAATAATTTTCTCAGTTTCTGAAATACATCTTTCACTATTCTTATACACCATTGAATTTCTGTATCACTTTCCATCATTTGTTACTATATTAACAAGATAATTAAAAATGTCACACCTGCTTGTTTTCTGTCCCTAATACATCACACTTTGGGTTGTCCTTTCTGGCTTTCAGCAAATATTTAGCTGAACAGTTCTTTCAGTTTTCCTTCTCCTGCTGCCATCAACAGTGTCACCTGCATAGCGTATGTTGCTTGTTTACTGATAACTCCTGGTAAGTCTTCTAGTACTTAGAATCATCTCCCTATACTGGTTAAATAAATCTGATGAGCAAACATATCTTTCTCTTTTTACTGTACATATGCACGTAAGTCATATGCACTTCTGTTGTTTGCTCTGTTAACATTCTGATAATGAAAATTGCATTTCTCATTCCAGTCTCTTGAACAAAACCACATTATTCTTATCCTATTTTCAGTTTAATTCTCTTACAAACTCTATTAGAATCTTAATTATTAATTTTATGTGGCTTATCAAACTGATTATTACATTGAGTTCACATTTGCCACTGGTTTCTTTAGAAGTTCCATTTAGATCTGGTATTCACCAGAGTCATATATATTTTTATTACTTTGGTGACCATAAATTCCAAAACTATCTAAGGCTGTCAACATCTCTATTACAATCTTTCCTGATTCTGCTGCTTTTATTCTCTTCATCTTGGCCAATTCTGACTTAACCTCACATTTTAGTATTATGAGTCGTATACTTTTGTTTTCTAAGCTTTTCTATGTTGTCATTCCACTCTGATCATTTCTCCTGGAGATATAGAAATCCTGCCAAAGTGCATCTTTTCTGTTCATCCTTGCAACATGTTTTACAGCTTTTTAGTCTCTGCACATTTTTCATTAAACTGCCCCTCTTTAGCTTACTTAATTGCTTGAATCTATTTCTGATGTTTTTGCTTAACCTCAAATTCTGTGCAATTTCTTGGCCTTACCTGCTATCTCATTTTTATTAGATTGACAACTTAACATGTCATCCACTTTTCAACCCTTGGGATAATTTATTTTATCAATGGTGTTTCCCTTAAAGTGCTTCAAAGTTTCATAGTTGTTCTTAACTCTGTATGTTTGTTTCCAAATGGAATCACTATGGAATTTGTTATTGCAGTTTAATCATTGTAGACTCTCAATGCTACTTTAGATTTCCAACTTCAAATCTTAATTCCAACAATTCTAACCTTCATATTCTCTATCTTCTCTCCTAGGCAAATTTTTGGTATTACTCTAATTTCTCACTCTTTCACATTTGTTCTTTTATTTGCCAGGAAAGCAGACACAATCATAATCCAGTAGGTTTCTTTTTTTTCTCCCTTATTCAAGATTATCGAATTCACTCTTTTTCTTAAATAGGATGGGTCAGTCTGAGTGTCAAAATCTGAGAATTTTGTGACTTTTCTTTTCTATCACCCTCTCTGATTTTTTGCTGATATCATTTGTCTACATTGCCAAATGCAAGTCATTTGCACAGTTAAAACTCTTTTGCAATATTTTTGAGCTCACCTTTCTATATTCACTGATTATTTAGTTTCATTTCCTTTTCTCCACATAGATAGTATCTGCTGTTTTATCTGAGTTTTTTTTTTTTTTTTCATTTCAAGTAAGTCTGTTCTGATGCACATGCTCTGGGATACAATGATTTTGTTGGTTTGTTTTGGATGTAACATACATTTGACCAGTGGTGATCAGTGCCGAAAATCAAATCAAACTGAATGCAAATTGTGGCTGAGGCTGATTGTGTTTATATAATGCTAATACTTGAGAAGGGATGAATCCATTTCTCCCTGTAGTGATGATTTGAAGAAGAAAATATTCAGTGAGTGAACACTTAGTTTGTAGAGTGGGATTTGTCTGTCAATTTTAGAAGTACAAGTCAATCAAGAGTCTGCATGGTAAGTTTGATAATGATACTTGAATATAAATGAAGTAATATAATTTTTTTCTTCCCAACCTGTTTCTATCAAATACATTTTTATTTATTTCAGCTAAAAGAGAGACGGAGAATCAAACAGGCTGGTGGCTTCATCACATTCAATGGTGTTTGGCGTGTGGTCGGTGTATTGGCAACGTCTAGAGCACTAGGAGATTACCCTCTGAAAGAAAAAAACTTTCTCATAGCAGAACCAGATGTTTACACATTTGACTTGAAAGAACTTCAGCCCCAATTCATTATCTTAGCCACTGATGGTCTGTGGGACTGCTTTACAAATGAAGAAGCTGTTAGTTATATTCAAGAAAGACTCTCAGAGCCACATTTTGGTGCTAAGAGTATAGTATTACAGGCCTATTATCGAGGCTCTCTGGACAATATCACCGTCATGGTGGTCAATTTTAAAACAGCATCAGCTGGTATTTATCGGTCAGATCAAGATGAAAAGATCAAGGATAGCTTAAATCTTTGAGAACCTCATCTCTCATGACATTGTTGAATGGGAGGCTATTTTTGGTAATTTTTTTTTTTTTTTTATCAAATTCATTTTTAATTTTTTTTTTTTTTTTTTTTTCCTTTTAGGAAAAAAATTTCGCACAAACCAGAAACTGATTTGATTAAAAGGAGATAAGCAATTTTTTTTTATCAAATATTTAATGAAAAAAAAAAAAAAATTAACAAAAATACTTAAACCAAAGGAGGAAAAAAATCAATTTAAAAAAGAAATAAAAAATAAAGTTATCTATTTTGCCTTCCAAAAATCATTCATAAAATTCATTTGGTACTAATTTTATCTCTTGTTTTTATTTTCTTTATTGTTGGGTTTTGGTTTAACTATAGTCTTTCTGAAACAGAAAATCTTTTTGTTCATAAAGTTTGCTTGTTTTACAGTTCACATATGATATTAATACATCCATTCCATTAACTCATATCTTCCTGGCATCAGTTTAAACTGACACCTTTTTTTCCATATATCTAAAAAATAATTTTGAAAAGTGACAATTCCACTGAAATATGTTGGAAAATTTCCAAGTTTTTATCTGTAAGTAAAAAAATACAAATTTTCATCAATGCTTACAATATATAAAAAAAAGTGATGCCAGGAAAATATAGAATTGTCATTTTCTCTCTCTCTCTCTCTCTCTCTCTCTCACACATTTCTTTTCAATATAGAAAAAGTAATTGAATGACAAATGTAAATAATTAAGATTAAGCTATTCAAACTTAATTATAACTATCTATATCTATAATTATCAAAATGTGTGTGTGTTCGGATGTTGTTTATGTTTCCACAGTCTTCATCCGATTTCAATGAAATTTTTTTTTGTTTGATACATAATTCTTCAGTGCCAGTTTTGAGTCCAAATTGACTAGAAAAACTTACAACTGTGCAAATAAAAAAATTGAAAAAACTGATTTTTTTTTTTTTTTTGATTTTTTTTTTTTTTTTTTTACACTTTGCACAAAAATCAAAGGCAAAATTTAATGACTATAAAAAACCACGTACAATCAATTTAGAGAGTTGAAATCTTACGCAAAACATTATTAGAATTATAAAAAGAAAATTATATTATAAATAAAAATTATTGTATATTATTATTATGATGGTCCATGGCAGAGGTTCTTTCCTTGCAAGATTGAGAACACAAAAACGTTCCTTTTCAGGGCCACCACCCATTCAAATCGTTAACCCCTCCCGCCATGTGCCTCAGTTGCACCCAATTGTTGTTACTAATACTGATTTTTGGGTGGGTTGACTTTAAACTTAAACTGCTCCAATTGAACGGCAAAAATTCCCAGTAATGAAACATCCAGTCAAGGACAGGTTATACTGCTAGTTCCAAATATGCTGAATTTATGATATATAATATAAAATTTCGTCAAGCACATTTTTTCTTTTTTGTCTTGATACTTCTTTTATATACTATGTCCCTTCTGGATGTAGCTGATCATAGGGTTTCATGTTCACCAGCTTTCACAAATTCCATTATTGGCTCCATTGTTACTGTTGGTTACTGTATCACACCTGGGCCAGTAAACATTGTGTTGGGGATGACTGGTGCCATGTCACCTGGTCTGACAAGTTGTATTTCCAACTCTTTCAGCAATATTGTCCAGATTCTGTGTGAAGGAGATTACTTGAAGCTATATGGGTCCAGCTGAGTGTTGTCCAAGCAGATAGTTGTTCCGTAAGGATGTGGAATATCTTATACTGAAATTTGAAAGGAAAGTTCATCTTGATAAGTGTAACATACACAGATCTTCTTACAGATCATTTCACTTGTTTTATAATCTCCATGCTTCCCAGTAGAAGTGTGGTTTTTGTTTTTTTGTTTTTTTTCAGCCAGATAAAGAAATCTTTCATTGTGTGCAATTTGGTTATGTACACACATAATGTGCCTAGACAAATATACCTACATGATAACTCTAAAATATTGCAAGCTCATAATACATTGTGTAGGTGCTCCTATTCAGGAAAGTGGTGGGAGCTACATCCTCCTAAATAGCTTTCTCTAATTTTGGGGTACTTATGTTTGGGAGCTGTCACCATTTTGTTTTTTCATTCTCAAAAGCCATAATTATTGGTTAATTATTGTATAGTATAAGGAAATAATAGGAACTTAAAAACTCCAGTTTATCTTCTGTATATATTTAGGATCCCTCTTACTCTTTTAAACCCTGGTTCTCTCCTCTACACAACAATGGTAGCATTGAATTCTTCTATGTGGCCCTTAGCAGTTTACCATTCATTCACACAAACTTTGCTTGTTACATTCAGCTTTCTTACCTTCAATATACTCTACAATTGTGAAATCCCAATCCCTCCTTTCTCATTATGTTTCCAAGGAATTTCAGCTGTCTCTTCCTCATTCTGAGGATAAGTGTTTTTGTTGACATTTTGTTTGACTTCCTCATTGCTTACCTGTTCCATCCATGGAATTCTCAGTATCCTTTTGTAGAACCACATCTCTGTTGCTTCCAGTCACTTCATCCATGAGGAAATTGTTCAGCATTCACTGTCATATAAAAGGATGGATATCACATAGCAATACAGCACTCCTTCTGTAGAGGTTGAATAAATCTGTGGAGAAGACACATCCTCATCTTTTTCTATTTTTGTATAGCTACTCAATTCATTTTCTATCCATGTGCAGAAGGTTTGCTCCCAGTATGTTTTGCATTATTCTAACATACTTTCAAAATTGATCTATTTTTCATAGCAGCTTAAATAGATCCTTGTGTCATGCCTTTTTGTATGCTTTTGCATAATCTATAAAACATAAGTACACATCCATATTCCTTTCTCTCTTATATCATTCTAATCATGAATATCACATTTGTTGTTTTAGTGTCCTTGACAAAGTTGCACTGTTCTTGCCCTGTTTCCAGTCTAATTCTGCTTCATGCTCTTCATCAGGATTCATATTATTAATTTGGTTACATGGCTCATTAAACTTAGTTTTCTATGGAGCTCACATTCACACATGGTTTCTTAGGTAATGTAATGAAAATTCATTTAGTGAGATCCTCTGATATGTCGCTATTGTTGTATATTTCATTTATTACTTCAGTGATCTCATCAATACCAAAATCATCTAAGGCTGAGATTAATTCTGTTATGATTCCAGCTGCTTTGTTCCTGTTCATTTTCTTCATCTTTTCATCTTATTTTATTATTTCTGATCCTTCCACATTTTCAATTTTTCTAGGCTTTTTTCACATTATGAAAAAGTTCTCTGACATGATTGCTCCACATTTGAGATATTTTTGCTTTTCTGTTATCATTGATCCTTTCTTTGTTCTTATAGATTAACTCTTTGATTGTGTTGTACATACTTGCTGTATCCTTTCTAATTCTACACGCTTTTCATTGTGCCATTCCTTTTTAGCTTACCTACACTTGTTTTTAATGCCTGCTTAGTTTTCATTACTCTGTTCATTGGTATTTCCTCATGCCTTTCTTGTGATGATCTTATTTGCTGATGTTACTAGATGATGATAATTATTTGATTATATGTTGTGCACTACTGGATCCATTTTTTTGCTGTGCTCATCTTGGGATCCTAGTCTAAACTTGCTAATTATTTTACCTTTTTGTTCTCTACCACCTATGGCATTCATATTTCCCATGTTGATAGTGATTTCTTGTGATTTACATAGGGTTTCAGGATGGTCCAGAGACTTGTGAAAGTCATTGATATCCTCCTCTATGCTATTTTAAAGGGCTTCCCTTTCAGTTTAACTAACAGTCTGGTGACACCTGTTACTCATATCTACCCTTACTGAGCAAGGAGTCATTCCCAAACACTACACTACTCCCCACATCATTATTCTTTATATTCAATTATAGTTATTGGATGATAGTCAGGTGACACCTGTTACACATATCTTCCCTTAGTAGGCAAGTAGTTATCTCCAGTGGACTTTACCCCTTTCATTACATTATTTTTAATACTTAAATTGTTTATTGCCATGATTATTCTTGAGATAGATATTGGACTGGTTTCTTGATGCCTTCTCAAGTGTTTTTATGAGAGACCACCCTGTTTATCTGGACATTGACTCATCAAAAGTTCTTCTGCCCTCCAATTGGTCTTATTTTTCATCCTACAAGGTTGCTAACCACTCTCCTTGCACCAGAAGTAGTAGAGTTGGGCAGCCAATTTAGATACCAACCATTCAACAAAGTTTCTGTTTTGAGAAGAAAAAGAACTTTTACTTTCCAGGCCAAGGTAGGGTTAGCGAAACCTCTTTGAGAGGAAGAAGATGCTTTGGAATTTTCAAGGATTTAACTGTAGTTTGCACAAGTGGAGAGTACATGATTCTGATTAATGTTAATAATTAGACAACAATGATAGATTATTAAGTTTAACATGTATAGGTTTTGTTAATGAATTAAGAGGAAAGCAAATTACTATATAGCCAGTAATTTTTTCCCCTTAAAAGAAAAATTTGATAGGCTAAAATTGATGACAAAAGATGAAAAAAGGCATTTAAGATCAGTAAAATAAGTTGTAGAACAAATAGTGCAAAATACATCTAAAACTGGAAATTCAACACAGCTTCATTGAAGAGTTAACTACACATGGGATGTGATCCTAGAGATACTGTTCAGTTCTTCAACTGCAAAGAGTTTGACCTGCTCCTACTTAAGATGACAATTTCTCCCCTTTCCATTTACTTTTCTTCTCTCTTTATCAACCCCAACTCTCAAATAAATGAAATCTGAGGAAACGCAGTAGGGTTCCAAGTGCAGGATTAACTTTGAGTATATGTATTTAGATTGGGTTAGTTAGGGAACGGCCAGTGCATTATTAATCATTGTTCCTGTTGTTGTTTATTTAAATATTTGTTTGCACATGCATAAGTGCACTTAACACATTTGCTTTCTAATGGATCAGTTTTGATAGCTGTTGAATCTTAGAGAAGTTTTTGAAGTATCTTCTTTGAAGAGAACTTTGTTCCTCAACC